TGTCTGTGACGTCAAGAGTTAGGTGGGCGTCGGGCAGAAAGGACCACTACATATCCTTTACCCATACAGGTCAAACCAGTCGTCAGATAGTACGCTTCTCAGCCATCCGTCAGTGGCGTCTCTTATGTGAAATCCACTGGGCAAACCAATCGAGGAACCTTGAGTTAGAACACAAGAAGACCCATTGGCGGCAGAAATTTGCGAACCAGAAAAAAATTTGTGATATATGCTTGCATATCTCATTTACCGCATCGGCTGTCTTTGTGGCCGAGCCAATTATGTTGGCGAGACTGGCAAATGGGTTCTCACTAGACTACACGAGCATGAACTCGCCGCGCGTTGGAAAACCAAGCTTTCCTTGGTGGCCACTCACGCGTCTTCGCCAGCGCACGACCTTGACTTTGAAAGAGTGAGAATACTGAATCATTTAGACAACCGAATTTCATGTCTGTTGCAGGAGGCATGGCACTTACGTGGGGATTCTATTAATAGGTATATCAATCTTCTGGAGGCTTATCAGACGTTACGCGAAAAAATCAATGACAGAGCTGGAGGTCACTCCCGCCAGAGGTGAGTTTAATATGCCGTGAGCTGCAGTGATGCCTTGACAATTGACTCGCGTTAGACTTCGAAGCGTCGGACAAATAACCGGAACACGCCTTCCTGTCTTCTATTCAATTAACCGGGTCTCAACTCCAAAGTACGGCATTCAAACGTGAAGGTGAACATTTACATCAGAATTCGATCCAGCCCATAATAAACCGCGGTGAATAGTCCCTACTTGGGGTATCTACATACAAACCCTTTTATAGAAAACGGGAAGACGTTCTCTGGGATGTCCACGTTTCGAAATCTCCCGCGAGCCCATTTTCGAGGCCAGCGAAGTTGGGATGGACGTCGCTCCCAGAGTGGAAGCGACAATCCGCAGGCAACTCATACAGCCTAACGACCCAGTATCCGTTAGCCAAGGATCTGGTGTCATTTACAGGATTGACTTTCTTTGTGGTCAAACCAATTATATTGGTGAAACCGACAAACGGGTTCTCGCGAGACTGTTCGAGCACGAACTCGCTGTGCGAAGGAAGGACGGGCATTACTTGGTAGTCGCCCACGCATCCTCGACAGGGTGCAGCAGCGACCTCGAAAGCGTGAAAATACTGGGCCAGTCAGACGACCGAAATTCACGCCTGCTGCAGGAAGCATGGTATCCACGTGCGGATTTTAATAATAGGCCTATCGATCTTCCTGGTGCCTATCTCGCGTTGCACGAACAAATCAATGGCAGAACCCAAGTTCATCCCCGACAAAGCAGTGAGTTGTACACATTTTTATCCCTTGACAATGGGTTCGCATGAGACTTCGACACGTCGGACAAATAAACAGTTGGTTTCCCCAGAGAATGCCTTATTGTCTCCTATTCAAGTTCCTGGGCCTCGCCTATTTTCCACTATTCAAAAGCCCTTTATAGGAGAACATCTACCAATAATAAATGCCGCACAGAACGCGGACTATGGGGATGGCCATTTCCAGCTTATTACTCCCGCAAGCATGCCATGCCGAATCCTAGATTTAAATGACCTCGGAAGTGAGGCCATAGTCTTTGGTCAGCTATACTTATTATGTCAAACTGTTTTTCATTGGGAGCTGAGCGCATTGTCCGGTCTCTTTCGATCAGGATCATCGGATATCATAGAATGGGCAAACTTCCATCAGTTTCCGAGTCATGCTCCATCATTTGTGTTCCGATAGTCGTAAAATTCTGTAGCAGATAGCCGATCATATGTAAAAAATTACATAAATGGGTTGTGGCTAGAGATGATTTACACGAATAATTACGGTTTTGCGCATGTTATAATATTGCAAAAAATGAAAGTGTGAATGCCAGTCGACGAAAATGAATTTAGAGAGTGCATGGCATGCCACTCTGCAAGCAGCAAAACATGCTGGTCGAATGTGTCATCAGGTGTGAAGTGGCCCAAGTCCGCGTGCAATGGCCAGCCATTCATCTCTCGTGATCGAAGCAGCACGTGTGCACTTGTAGGCCGACGCCACACCAATCTGGCTAATCACATCCCCCGGGGCTGACTGAAACATGACCTAAAAGGAGTCACTTGTTATGACTCCCGTGCTCACACGCAGTTCAGTTCCGGCTGGACCCACGCTAGTCCAAATGTCAATTTCCTTCATCCTGCTCTACAATCCTTCTATATAAAATAAATTATTCTTGTCACCTAGTATTTCACTTCCTCTCTTTCCACAAGGAATCGGACCACACTGTGGTACCCTAATAGCATTGCGCGCGTTAGCGTAATACGCAAACACGCGCTTCACGCGTGCTTGGTTGTCATTGGCTGGGATAATTACGTAGTCGATAGCTGATTGGCTTATCGGTTTTTTGCATGCTCTCACCATCGGCCGATGCGCGTCCACCGCTCGTGAGTGCATGCAGGTGTCACAGTGGCGTGGCGCAATCTGCTAATAACACCTGCAAGCGAGCTCTCCTTACTGTGACTGCGAATCCGGTAAATCTGCTGTTTTTGCCGTTTTCTTCAGCATATGGAAACCACCATCAATTAGAACTTTAAGAAGACGTGTTTTGCGCGGATATCTTGAAGATTTATGTAAAATTGAGCAAGAAGCAAGGG